ACTGTCGATTTTTTCTGAGCTCGATTTGCTGAATAAACCGTTTGTCCCTGAAGGACCGAGTTCTGTGACATGCTGTCAGAGAAAACCAAGCCACCTGCCGCTCCGCGTTTGCTTGTTAGTTGGAATTGGAAAGTATCAAATCAAGGTGAAGGAAGACAGAAAAATGGGGATGAAAGGGGGATAAAAATGAATTTGGTAAGGAACGATAATGGTGAAGAAGCGTAGTGTGGGTATAAGTAGACAGGAAGGTTTGAATAGTAGCATCAAATTCCCTATTCTTCGCGATAGATGCAGCAGATTATTATCCTCTTCGACGAAGTTACTTTTATTACCTGGGCAAGATACTGTCAGGTTTCCCAGGACTAGACAACACATCGTTTAGGGTTCTAAACCAAAGCCTAGTTCAAAAACCTGACCACAAGGCAGCGGTCTGGGCAGTAGGATACAAGGGGTCCGTTTTATAGATTGGGGAGCCACTCCCACTCCAACACCCAACATGTAGGACCAAAAAGCTAATGTTGCCTGGATTCTAGCCATTGACCAATCTGGTATGAATGGCTCTGCAACTACAAGAAGCGTCACCCAGCACAGCTCAATGGATCTCTGAGTCACACAAGCGGTCGCACTAAGGTAAACTCCCGTCTCTGCGATTTCGTTTCCAGTTTTCTATAAGTTGTGTACGCTGGACAAATTAGCTCTGGCTATCGGCCGTTTCTGCCTATGCTTTGCACCCTCGAAATGCCAAGTCCCCTTAGCTGATCCTTATCGATGATCAGCCAGAAGTCGTCTAGAAATTCAATGATTCATGCAGTCAAATTAGCGCCTGTTGGATAGATGTCACGAACCGTGTAGCGAAAGCTAGAGACTCTTTTGCCAATCGCCATGTTTGGTGCTGGTACGACATTTCTCCATGAAGGTCAGAGTTTACAACATAGCCTACCCTTCAACTCTCCTTTGTAATTGTAAAACATCGCCCATCAGATCGACAAGCCTATAGAGACTTGTTACGTTCGCCATTCTCTGCCTTCGTAATTTATCTCGTGTCTTGTGGGAACACCGAGGGAGCGATGAGCGTGTTCGGAGTTGTGTATTTGGTACACTAAGAGCAATTGAACCGCTCAGCACCGTTATATTACGCACCAAGTTCCGATGGCTAGGCCACGTGTTGCGCATGCCAGCCCACCGACTGTCGCGACTTGCCTTGTTTGCTCGGCCGGGGTGTGCATTAAAGCAGAGGAAGTGTGGCCAAGCGATGACTTGGTCAAGAGGAATGGAGACCCTCACTTCGGACTTCTCGTTAGTTGATGTCCTTCGACTACCGAGCTGCGATCCGAAGGTCGACGAACACGTTTTGTTGGATACACCTTTTGAGATGGCAAGAAGCCGACCTCAATGGCGTTTGTGTTGTGCGTTTCCTTGTTCCTCCCTTTCCCGCTTATCTTCCTTCTCCAACCACGATCTCACCGCATGCGTATTATGGTACTTAGCGTTGTAATGCTTTTTTCTTCTGGCTTTATGTTGTTTACTGTCTTGCCATATTTCAAATATCTTGTATTTTTGTATTGCAACACAACAGCTGAAGTGTGTTTCTCGCCATGGGTTGCCTTGTTATGATTGCGTTGATAAATGCTATAACAGTCATCCAGTGGTTCACTCGGCTTGACGAAGCTTTTGTGTCTAATACGAAACATTGCCCACTAACTTTGCCAACCGCTTGTTTTCAAACCCTTCTGAAATAATTAGTTCTCGATCCATTCCAACCATTTTTCGTCATACTGATGTACTTTGTTGTTTTTGGATCATAGCATCGTAGTGGTCTTCTGCACGTGACGTTCTCCTCCGTAATTGAGAATGGGATGCATTTGCAATGGCTAATTTTGGCCAGTGACTGAAGCGATGTGGTCTCTGTCTTTTAATCCGAATATCATTGGTTCGTATCTGCGTAGGTGCGGGCAACTCCCGCAGTATCCCCAGCCCACGCGCTACTTGTGATGGTCGCGAGGCATCGAAGCGTAGGTATGGCACACCGCTGCACTGCTGATGCGTTTTCAACAACTTGTACGCGTCTCATATGTCAACATTGTGGACAATTACTGTAATTCCTGCCTTACTCTGGAGTCCGTTTTGGGTTTCTCTCGTACATCCATCGTATGTTGCCAGTTAGGGTTTCAATCGTTGATTCTATCA